GGTACTGGGAACCAAACCTGGGTTAAGAACAGTCAGTGCTCTTAACCACTGAGCCATCTCTCCAGCCCTTAACCCTCTTTTTTAAGACTTTTTTTATTATTTTTATTTCTATGTGTATAAGTGTTTGTCTGCATATATGTAAGTTCCCACATGAGTGCAATGTCCACAGAGGCCAGAAGAAAGTGTCAGATTCCCTGGAACTGGAGTTACAGATGGTTGTTAGCTGCCATATGGGTACTGGGAATCAAACCCAGGTCCCTCTTTGAGAGCAGCCAGTGTTCTTAAGTACTGAGCCATCTCTCCAGCCTCCAAAAACATTTTAAAAAACTTTTAAAACCAAAAATCTTAGAGTCAACACCTAAGGAGTAGAAGTTGGATATGTGAAAGTACTGTAAAAATACTTTTAAAAGCATTTATAATATTTTTAAAAGATCTCCATTTCATTTTAAAATATACTGTTTCTTACAGAGACTCATTGTTTTTACAACACTGAGATGTTGGCATATGTGTCTCTAATCTGTATGTATCTGATTATTACTAATCATAATTGGTTGCACTCAGATCCTTGGCACCTGTGTATGTCTATAATGTCATCAGGTAGATTTCAATGGTAATGTTTATCACCTCTACTAATTAGCATAATGTAAATTTCCATGCTTCCTCCTCAAATATAACACATTTTAAAACATTTATTGACTTGTGTGTGTGTGCACGTGTGTGTCACACAGAACATCCCAAACCATCTTATTCAACTATACACCCACTTCCCAGATGGCACCCTCCCATAGCCTCCCTCCCCCCACTAGAGCCCTTATACTCTGATATCCGTGCTACTGTCTGCTGTGTTGTCGGCACCCCCAGCCATTCCCCGCTACTTGCCCTTCTGGTGAATCTAGTCAGCCTTTCTAGAGGTCTTTGTTTTAGGTGGGTCAGCTATTGCTCATCTAGCAGCAATCAGTTGCCAGTATTCCTTTAGATAAGATTGGGGTCTACTGTTCATTTTCCCAGTTCAATGCTGGGTTACTATCTGAGAATCGCTTTGGCCACCCTGGCCAAGCAGATCCTAGCTTCACTTTTGATGAACTGTGATTTGGGGCAGACTGTTTAACCTCTTGAAATTTCACTTTCCTCATTTCTAAAATAATTTGATAGTTTTCTCTTACGAAGTTCTTATGAAGATTAAAGGAGATATGCATATAAAGTGATTGCGAGAGACTTGATACTTAATAGGCACACAACAAATTTTAAACATTATAGTAGGAAAGTTTGAGATGTGCTTTAGTTGAAAGTAGATATAAAGATATCTTAAAACTGATTAGTGTCTTGATTACCTCTGAAGTCTTCAAACATATTTAATCATTCTAAATCAGCAAAATTCTTTTTTAAAAAGATTTTAATTGTGCATATGTGTGTGGATATGTGCACATGAATATGTTGGATCCCCTGGATCTAGAGTTGCAGGTGTTTTTTGAACTGCCAGATGTGGGTGCTGGCAACCCAACTCTGGTCCTCTGGAAGACCACTAGTGCTTTTAACTAGGAAGTCATTTTGTAGCCCCCTAAATCAGCAAAATTCTATTACATGTACACTAGATGTCAGTATTTACTTCTTTTTAAAGAAGAGGTTGCTGAGTTCAAAGAGTTGAGTGAGCAGTGGTGAATGCCTTTATTTTAGCACATGGGAGGTAGACTAAGGCAATCTCTGTAAGATTGAGGCCAGCCTGGTATCGTGAGGTCTTGAGGCCAGATGGCTCTTTCAGAGAGACCCTATCTCAAAAACAACAACAAACAAACAATAACAACAAAACCCCAAACCTAACAAATAAAAAAAATCCAAACAAACAAAAAGAGTTGGGTGAAGCATTTATTGCTTCTGTATTTTAATGAAAAAAAAAATTTTTTTTTTTGTTCTTTTTGAGACAAGGTCTCCCAGCAACCCCAGCTGGCCTGGAACTCACTATGTAGACAAGGCTGGCCTTAAACTCACACAGATCTGCCTGCCTCTGCTTCCTGAGTGCTGGGATTAAAGATGTGCACCACCATGCCCAGCTCATAGCCTTTATTAAAAGACACCCCTGTAGCAAATCCATGGTAATTTGTAACAAAAAGAACCTTTTTCATTGGATGTCCTAAGTTACGTCTTGGAATACTTATACTTCTTTCAAGGATTACAGTGTTTTTCCTAACTTCGTATTCCTTTTTTTTTCTTTTTTTTAAAAAATTTATTATTTTTATTTTGTGTATGAGTGTATTGCCTGCATGTATGTGCGTGCACCCATGTTGTGCAATGCTGTGGAGGTCAGAAGAGGGCTTCAGATTCCCCCGGAGCTGGAGTTAAGGATGGTTTGTAGCTGCTATGTGGGTGCTGGGAATCGAACCCGGGTCCTTTGCAAGAGCAGTCAGTGCTCTTAACCACTGAGCCATCTCTCCAGCCCCATACGTGGTATTTCTTTAAAAAAAATTTCGGTATTATTGTGGTGTGTGTGTGTGTGTGTGTGTGTGTGTGTGTGTGTGTGTAGATAGATGAGTAGGCACAGATGCAGAAGTCAAAGGACGACTTTTGTGGAGTTGACACTCTCTTTCTATGTTTATGTGATTCCTGAGATTGAACTTGGTTCTCCAGGCTTATGTGGCAAATGCCTTTTCCCATTGAGCCATCTTGCCAGTTAACAGTTGGTGATTCTGTTGAAAAGTGGACTTTCTCTGTTTTTCTCTTTTACTAAAAATGCTTTTTGCATTTTACAGAGTACATTACATACATTATGTTGTTAATTCAGTAATAATTCTGTGAAGCCACTGTCACACATATTTTTAAATATTATTATTTTTTGTGTGTTTGAATGATTTGCCTAGATGTGTGTATGTCCATGTTGTATGGTGCCCGCAGAGGTCAGAAAAGAGCATCAGATCCCCTAGAACTGGAGTTATGAATGGTTGTCAGCTGCCATGTGGTTGCTGGAAACCAAACCTGGTTTTCTGAAAGATCAGCCAGAGGCTCTTAATTTTTGAGCCATCTCTGCAGCCCCTTCAATATATATATTTAATTGAGTTTTTATACATTTCATATAATATATCTTAATCATACTTAGACCCTCTACTCTATCTGTACTCCTCGTGCCCCCCCACTGGATTTTATGCATTCTGTCATATATGTTAAGGCCTATTGAGTCAGGTTTGTATCCCCAGAGAGACCTTGTCTTAAGAAAATGAGGGGGGCCACCAAACCTGAGGACCTGATGTTCCTTCCTGGAACATACATGGTGGAAGGAGAGAACCAGCTCCAACTCCAGGTTGTCCTCTGATCGTAACATGTACACTGTGGTATGTGTATCCACACACGCATACACGCACACAAGTGCGTGCCTGTAATGAATAAACAATTTTTTTTTTTTTAAGAAAAATCCCCAGCCAGGCGTGGCGGTGTACGCCTTTAATCCCAGCACTCAGGAAGCAGAGGCAGGTGGATCTCTGTGAGTTCAAGGCCAGCCTGGTCTACATAGTGAGTTCCAGGACAGCTGAGGCTACAGGGAGACCCTGTCTCAAAAAGACCAAAAAAAAAGAAAAAAGCCCCAAAGGAAGTTGGACGGCTCCTGAGGAACAAAACCTGAGTTTGGCCTCTGGCCTCCACATGCACATGTGCATATGCACCCAAATGAATAAATAAGTAATAAACAGAGGAAAGCAGTACGTTCATCTGTGCATTTAGGATGCTTCATGTTTCTTTGCAGTCTTACCAAGGGCTATTTGTTGAAGAAACTTCTGAAGCTGTTCTGAAGACTTCTGAAGAAGGAAACTCTGTACCTGTCTCACAGAGGTGAGATTGTATTTTGCCATGGGTTTCGGTTCTTTTCTGATGGTATCAGCATAAGGAAGATGTATCCCCTGAATGAGACTGCACAAGAGAAACTTGCCAGGGAACTTTTATCTTTTTTTTTTAATTAAAAAATACTTTTATTTTATGTATATGAGTGTATTGCCTGCATATATGTGGGTGCACCTATGTCGTGCAATGCCACAGAGGTCAGAAGAGGGCGTCAGATTCCCCTGGAACTGGAGGTAAGGATGATTTGTAGTCGCCATGTGGGTGCTGGGAATCAAACCCAGGTCCTCTGCAAGAGCAGTCAGTGCTGTTAACGACCAAACCATTTCTCCAGCCCTGGAATTTTTATCTTTATTATTAGCAGAAACTAAAAGAAATTTTTTTTTTCTGGCCTTTTTGAGGCAGGGTCTCCTTGTAGTCCCTGCTCTCCTGGGACTCACTATGTAGACCAGGCTGGCCTCTGTCTCACAGAGATCCTTCCTGAGTGTTGGGATTAAAGGTTTGAGCCTCCACGCCTGGCTCAAGAGAAATCATTTTTAGCTACCAAAGTTTTCAAATATGCAGCCCTTAGAAGCCTAGAGTATTAAGATTGGAAGAGATTGTGTATGTTTTCTTATCTACGCTAATCATCTTGGCATGAATTTCATGTTATTCCTGAAAAGTTATCATTTCTGCTATTCTTTCTTTATTTTTTTTGGTTTTTTTGAAACAGTCTCCCTGTAGCTCCATCTGGCCTGGAACTCAATATGTAGACCAGGCTGGCCTTAAACTCACAGAGATCCCCCTACCTTTGCCTCCTGAGTGCTGGGACTACAGGTGTGTGCCACCATGCCTGGCTTCTGCTATTTTCTTAACTGCTAGCCTCCTAGCCTGTTTCTTTATGACCTGTTCTTTTTGTCCTTGTTCTTCTTTTGTTCTTTCTGGTCATGTTCCTTCTTTCTTTGCTTTGATTTCAGATTAGCATACAAAGTAGTAGGTTTCATCATGCCATCTTCTTACATTTGTGCAGCTGTTTTTTGTCCCCCCAGTGCCCTCTTTATGCCCCCTCCCCCACTTCTGCTTTCCTAGTACATAGATTCCATTACTCTGTTTCTCACCTCTCTTAAGATGTCTTCCGCCCCTTTCATGATCTCCTTACTAGTTTCATGATCTACAAATATGTAGTAAATATATATGCACAAATATATGTGTATAAATCTAGGTTCTGTATATAAGAGAAATGCAATATTTTTCCGAGTCTGGCTTATTTTGTTTAACAATGATTTCCTGTCGCATATATATTTCTTGCAATTGTCCAGATTTCATTTTGCTTTATGGCTGTATAAAATTCCATTTTGGGGGCCTGGAGAGATGGCTCAGCGGTTAAGAACACTGGCTCTTCTTGTAAAAGACCCGGGTTTGAATCCCAGCACCCACATGGCAGCTAACAACTGTCCGTAACTCCAGTTTCAGGGGATCTGACAGCCTCTTCTGTCCTCCACAGGCATTGCATGACATGGGTGCACTTACCTACATGCAGGCAATACACTCATACACATCAAAAAAATTTTTTTCCCATTGTGTATATGCCACATTTTTTAAATCCGTCTATCTAGGTTGATTCCATTTCCGAGCTATTGTAAACAGTGTGGCTATAAACATGGATATGCAAGTTCTTTAGGTTTATACCCAGGAATGAATCATACAATAGTTCTGCTTTCAATTTTTTTTTTCTTTTTTTAATCTTTTTGAGACAGTGTCTCCCAGTAGTCCCAGCAGGCATGGAACTCATCATGTAGACCAGGCTGGCCTTGATCTCACAGAGATCCGCCTGCCCTTGTCTCCTGAGTGCTGGGGTTAAAGGTATGCACCATCACATCTTACTTTTGCTTTCAATTTTTTAAAGATTTATTTTAAATTGCATGAAGATGTGTGTCTCTGTGTTTGGGTATATGCATGTGAGTACAGGTGCCTGAGGAAGCCAGAACTGTTGGATCCTCCAGAAGCTGAAGCTAGAAGTGATTGTGAGCCGCCTGATGTGGATGCTGGGGATTGAATTCAGGTTCTCTGGAAGAGCAGTGTGCTCTTAACCCCTGAGTCAGCTCACCAGCCCTGTTTTCAGTTTTTTTCTTTTTTTTAAAGGAACCTCCATATTGATTTCCATAGTGGCTGTTCAAGTTTAAATTCTCACTAGCAGCGAATAAGAGTTCATCTTTCCCCATATCCTTGCCAGTATTTGTTGTCATTTGTTTTCTTGATAGCCATTCTGGCTGAGGTGAGATTTCCATGGAAGCTCAGAGCAGTTTTAATTTTCATTTCCCTGATGGCTAAAGTTTTAACTATTAATTGGTTGTTTGTATTTCTTCTTTTGAGAATGATTGAATTAGTTCCTAAACCCATTTACTGGTTGGATGATTTGTTTCTTTGGTCTTTTTCCTTTTTACATTTTCATTGTGTATGTGTGTAAATATGTCACGGCACACATGTGGAGATCAGAAGACAACTTGTGCGAATTGGTTCTCTTGTTTCACCATGTAGGTCCTAGGGATTGAGTTTAGGTTTGACAGCAGGTGCTTTGACCCACTGAGCCATCTTGCAAGCTCTGGTATTTTACTTTTTTGTGGTTTTAAAAAAATATCTTGGCGGGGCTAAAGAGATGGCTCAGCAGTTACGAGCACTGACTGCTCTTTCAGAGGATCCAGATTTGAATCCCAGCATCCACATGGCAGCTAGCAACCGTCTTAGGGGATCTGATGCCTTCTGACTGCTGCAGGCATTGCATGACATGGGTGCACTTACATACATGCAGGCAATACACTCCTACACATAAAATTAAAATAATAAAATATTAAAAAATATATATCTTGGATATAATCCCTTGTCTGATGTGTAGTTGGAAAATATTTTTCCCCATTCTGTAGGCTGTCTCTTTACTTGGTGATTGTTTCCTTTGATGTACAGAAGTTTCTAGTTTCTTAATTTTATTTAATCTCATTTGTCAGTTCTTGGGATTATTTCTTGTGCTTCTGACTTCCTATTCAGAGATCAACTTATTTTTTCAGTATTAAGGATTGAATCCAAGACCTAGTACATGTTGGGCAAGCGTTCTACCACTGAGCCACGTTCTATCACTAAGCCACGTTCCTAGCTGGAGTCTGTTCAGAAAATCCTTGCTTACATTTATGTCAGTGTTTTATCTGTATTTTCCTCTAGCATTTTCAGAGTTTCAGGTCTTAACATTAAGGTCTTTGACCCATCTTGAAATTATTTTTAATGCAGAATGAGAAGTGTGGATCCAGTTTCATTCTTCTACATGTGGAATCCAGTTTTCTCAGCATTATTTAAGAGTCTTTTTTCTGTTGTGTTGTTGACAGATTTGTCAAAAGTTAGATGGCAGTAACTGGTTTGTTTATTTCTGGCTTCTCTCTTCTATTCCATTGGTCTACAGGTTTGTGTTTATTTCAGCACAGTGCTGTGGTTCTGTAATATAATTTGAGATTGAGTATTGTCATATCTTAAGTATTGCTCTTTCTGCTAAGGATTGCTTTAAGTCTTTGAAACCTTTATATTTTCATTTGAGCTTTAGGATATTTTTTTCTAGTTCTATGAAAAATGTCATTGAGATTTTGAGAGGATTATGTTGAATTTGTAGATTGCTTTCAGAATAGAGCTTTTAAAAATAACTTATTTAGAGCATGTGTGCACAGGTGCATGCAGTGTATGTGTGTGTGTGTTTTGTGTGTGTGTGCATGTGCATTTGTGCGTGTTCAGGTGCATACATTTTGTGTGTGAATGCAGGTGTATGCATTTGTGTGTGTGCGCACACATTTGTATGCAGGTTCATGCAGTCCATGGTACATGTGAAGGTTAGAAGTCAATCATGGGAGTTGGTTCTCCCTTCTACCATGTGGGTCCTGGGGATTGAAGCTAGGTTGTTAGGCTTAGAGGCAAGCACCTTTACCTGCTGAGCCATCTTGCTGGCCCAGAGCCATTTTTATAATATTGGTTCTTCCTATCCATGAGTGTGGGAAATCTTTCTATCTTCATCTGCATTTTACCTATTTCAATACCTTTAAATTCAGTAGTTGAAGATTATGATCTTTTAGAGGAGTCATATTACCTTGCTTTTTTGTGTTTCTTACATTTCAGTGTTGTGATTTATGACTCTGTTGGTTTGGATATCTCTTCTGGACTTCGGAGGTAGAACTTTTTGAGCAGCCTACTCTTGAAGGCTCAATCCTCTTTGCCACTCAGTGAGGAAGAAACAAACTGCTGTGGCAGCAACAACATCAAACCATATGAGATATAGAAATACACATAAAATCAGCTGTAGTTCACTAATACATGATCACTAATGATCATAGAACTGAACATGCAAAACTACTATAGAATGTGGTATGAAGTTAGATATTATTTAGGGTAAATATGGAAATAGTAAATGAATGAGATGAAGGAGATTCAAAGGGGAGAAACAAGGTTAGATTAAAGGAGAAAGAATAGGGGGTAGAGAAGACTCTCATGGGGAAGGAGAAAAGAAAAGAGCAACACTGTAGAAAAGTAATTCCCAATAGTGAGAAAGTTCAAAAGCAAAATTTAATAAATGTAGCATAGGGAGTAAAAAGTAAAAATATAAGAGTATTAAAAAGTCAGTAAGAGATGGGTGAAGTTACACACGCCTTTAATCCCAGTACTTGGGAAGCAAAGGCAGGTGAATCTCTGTGAGACTGAGTACAGCCTAGTCTACATAGTGAGTTCCAGGCCAACTGGGGCTTTAGGGAGACCCTGTCTCAAAAATTACCATCGAAATCTACCTGTTGACTTTATATCCATACTCAGGTGCCAAGGATCTGAGTGTAACTGACTGTGACTAGTAATAATCAGATACATAGAGATTATAGAGACATGTGTAAACATCTGTTAGTAGCATTAAAAATGTAGGAAACAGCATATTTTAAAATAAAATGGAGATGTTCTTTAAAGGGTAAAAACTCATTCAATTTTATATCTTACAGGGTTTATGCTGAATTCAATATTGCATAACTGTATTTAATTCCTAAAAATTTTATAGCCACTTTTGAAAGAGATGTATCTTTGCTCTGGAAATTGTTACTGAATATGGTAAAGCTGTAATGAAATGCTTCTTCTAATCATGTGGTTATTAAATTAAAAAAAAAAGAAAAAAGTGAAGTCAATAATAATAAGGTGGGGCTGCAGAGGTGGCTCAGCAGTTAAGCACTGACTGCTATTGCAGAAGACACAGGTTTGGTTCCTAATATCCACATGGCCGCTAACAACTGTCTGTAACTCCAGTTCTAGGACATCCAACACCCTCTTCTGTCTGGCCTTTGTGGGCATTGAATGCATGTGGTGCACTTATATACATGCAAAACACTCATATACATAAGATAAAAATCAAAAAAATTTAAAAGGTCAATAAGACAAAGTCAAGATACTACTAAATGTAGAGAACAGGAGAAAAAGAAGGAAACATGGGCTGAAAATGTGAAAAAGAAATTAGAGAAAAGAAAAAAAATTGCCCAAATGGGAAAAATGAAAAAAACAGATGTTTGCAGAGAAATAATAAGTAAAAACATGAAAAAATTTAAATACAATATGATTTTTAAAATGATCCTGTGGGCCAGTGAGATGACTCAGTGGTAAAAGGCTGCACAAACTTGATGGTCTGAGTTTGATCCCTGGAACCCATGGTGAAAGGAAGGAACTGATTCCCAAAAGTAGTCCTCTGTTTTCCACTTATGTACTCTGTGTGTGTGTGTGTAGCAACAGTAATAAAAGAATACTACTGAACAACATGTAGGAAAAAAAAAGAATCACATAGCTACAATAACAAAAGGGAAAGGAAAAGATGAGGTGTTGCAGCAGCTTCTGAATCCTTGAATAATGTACATGGAGTCAGGAAGAGGGTCAGTTGCACCTTGGACTGTGCATGGCTTTCTTTAGTAGTTTATACTGTTGCCTGAGTCTGTATTGGACAAGTGTTTGATATCCAGAGTTGTCTTCATAGCAGTTTTCCTGTGTGTTGTCTGCACAGATTGCCCATATCATGCCCCCTAGGATGGTTGTTTTAGTTAAGGGGTATCTCCCAAGCAGATTGGGCGTGACCTCCTGAATTTTAATCGTTTGCTGGAGAGATGCCTTTTTGAATATTATACCCTGAGAACTTCAGAGTTCTTGGTTTTAACAGTAGTGAATGTAGGTAGGTGACCCTAGAATTTGATATACTCGGTTGGCCTCAGGTTGAAAACTATCAAACTCCAGTGTATGTCTCAATTGATGAGATCTGTTCCTGGCCACTGAGGGTAGGGCTGTCTTTCTTATGCATGGTCGAACCTGAGCCAGCCTTCTGTTGCCTAAACCCTTCAGTCAGGGTCCAAGGCTTCTGTTGTCTACACCTGCCTTTCTGAGGCTTCCCTGACTGATGGACTGTGGCAGGCCAAATGGAGGCTCCCCAACCAATGGATGTTTCCTGATCTTAGATCCAGAGGGTAGCTGAGTTTTTAATTTTTAATTTTTATTTTTTATTTTGTGTGTATGAATGTATTGCCTCTGTGTAAGTGCATCTATGTTGTGCAGAGCCCATGGAGGTCAGAAGAAGATGTCAGATTCCCTGGAACTGGAGTTAAGGATGGTTGTTAGTCACCATGTGAGTGCTGGGAATCAAACCCCAGTCCTCTGTAAGAGCAGCCTATGCTCTTAACTGCCAAGCCATCTCTTCAGTCCCCATGGGTATTTCAGATTTTAACAATAGATTTTCTCAGCCAGGCATGGTGGCTCATGCCTTTAATCCCAGCACTTGGGAGGCACAGGCAGGCAGATCTCAGTGTATTCAAGGCCAGCCTGTACTACAAAGTGAGTTCTGGGCCAGCTGGGGCTTTAGGGGAGACCCTGTCTCAAAAAGACAAAAAAAAAACAAAAACAAAAAAAAAAACAAAAAAAAACCCCACCAGAAACAAAAAACCCAATAGATTTTCTCATAAAATGGTGCCTAACAGCTGCCCTCCAAGCCATACAGTGTAACAAAATGGGATTTCTCTCCACTGATGCCCTGTCTGCTGGAGAAATCACTGTCTCACCAAAATCCACAACTGGATTTGAGGCTTGTGAGGACTGAGAGCTTATCCCCAAGGGTAGGACTGCCTGACTTTCATCTGCCTTAGAGTGACTTCTGAGTCCCCTCCCTGTGCCAAGGAACTGTGTGGCTAATGTGTTTAGCTTGCTTCTGTGCTTGGCATATCCAGTATCCTTTTACTTAACTGTGGATTTCCAGAGCTTTTCCTCTATTTATCTCTTTGTGATAAACTCTGTTTTTTCTTGTTCTGATGATTTCCTTCATTGGCTTTCACAGAGACAGCTACTAGTCTGCTGTGCTTATTATATGCATTCCCAAATCTTAAATTTCTTTTGTCTACTCTCAACACTTGCATTCTCTTTAGAGCCTACATAATGTTTAGTCCACACAGATTCTGTACAATTCTCACTCTATCTCTGCTACTGTGTTAGTATCTAATCTGATACTATAACTAATTGTCTTTGCATTGCCTCCATTTTTCTTTTTAAAATTTTCAAAAAATGTGTTTGAGTATTTTGCCTGTATGTGTGTATGATGTGCACTATCTGTGTGCCTGGTTGCCTGTGGAAGTCAGAAGAGAGAATTGGATCCCCTGGAACTGGAGTAACAGATGGCTATGAGCCATCATATGGGTGCTGGGAACCTAACCCAGGTCGTCTGCAAGAGCAGCAAATGTACTTACCCACTGAGCCATCTTTCTAGTCCCTCCTCCATTATTCTTGATGATTGATTGATGGGGCTACCTTGTAAGTTTTCTTAATTTCATAATAGCTAATAGCTAATTGATTATAAATCGTATTATTTAATTGGGTCAGCTTTCCCCCATTGTTGGATAGTTGAGTTTTGGGAGTTTCTTGAGAGCTTAACTCTGTATTGAGTGACTGTCATTTCCCATTTGGAATTTAAGACCTGGTTGCCATTTACTATACTTTAGGTAGTGGTTTTTGGTGGATAGTGCTAGGTATTTGTTCCTAGGCTGAAGAATATGTTGTTGGTTTAATTCTCTTGCTGTTAAAAGAGTTTGGAAATGTTTTTAGCTGGAGTAGGTCTTCTGCTCCCTGTAGACCTCTCTCCTTCACTGTGATGAGCCTGTGCAGAGCAGATGTAGGTTTTAATAAATTATTATAAGCTTTGTCACCGGGAGAGAGTTGAAATCACATACAATGTGGTTTGACTTCAAATTGATTAGCCCATTTTATAAATGTCAGCAAATCGTTTTGTGATGGACTCTTTGAATAGAGCCCTAATGTTACATGCAGAGTAAACTGTGTCTGGCTTGGGTTTATGACAAATGCTCTGAAATGTTTTATTTAGAGAGAGAAATCACTTGTGGTTTCCTGTCATGATTTAGTTAGAAAATATCACGAGTCTCGGTGGTAGTTATTCTCCCTTCTCTGTGGTTTTTGGTTGATATAAGGATTTATGTTTTTTTTTTAAACATCTTCTTGCATACTTGATCAAACTAATCATAAAGCTCTATGAAGCATGAGGGGAGTTTTTCAGATGCTCAGATCTCTCAGCCATGTGTTCCTTTGTCAGAAAGAGATCACACTCCATGAGCAGTCAGGGCAAAACAGGTTGGGTAAGGGAAGCCACTCATAATTAAGTTTTTCTCAGAAGAGATATTCAGCTTGTGTGGGCAGATTTTTGTTGGAGGACACTTGAGGATTTATTTTACTTTCGTTGCTTGGAAAGCTCTATCTTCAGATAAAGCGAAAATTAAGCTTCAAGGTAAGGAAAAGCTCATACGCTATTAGGAGAATCACCATGTCTTCTGAGTTTATGTTTCTCTTTCCTTCAGAAGACTGAGACAGGTAACCAGCCTCTGATATTCACTGGTAGTTCTTACTCTGGAACTTTCCTTTGTGACGGTAATGGTTCTTTTCATTCAGTGATTGCACTGGAAGCAAAGTTGTAAGCATGCTTTCCCTATTTCTGGCCTCGTTTTCACTATAGATTCCTTGCTTCCTGGTTGTAAAATTGGACAGGATATTTAGATTACTTGTAGCTTTGTGAATGACCCACCATGACTTTTGGACCTGTGTTCTGATTTATTTTATGTGAAGTTCACTTGGAGTTTGGTTCTTTTTCAGCAGTGCAGCTTTGACCAGTAAGAGAAGTTTAGTCCTTATGCCAGAGAGTTCTGCAGAAGAAATCACTGTTTGTCCTGGTAAGCACCCCTGTTATTTTACTGAATTTTTAATATTTGATTATCTACCTTTTCATTCCTATTAAATTTTATGACTATTTAAACTATCTTCAGGAGTTTTATATGTGATTTATGTGTGTATATATTGTTAGAAACATACATATATATTCACATTACTTATTTCTAGTGGACATAGGCTCTGATTCTCAACCTTATTTTTGCTTCAGGGTAATTTAGTATTGAAATTAACATGGCCTTTTTGTCTGCTTGTTGATTACTGCTATCAGAGGCAGCAAAGTATCAAGAAGAATCCTTGTTTTGCAGTACATTCAGAGCCAAGAGGACTTAATGTTTGGATTTCTGTGGTTTCAAAGTTCTCAAAGAAGCATCATTAAGCAGATTCTTCTAGGTACTCATGCAGAGTTGTATACAGACAATTTTAAATGAAGTACTAGCTGCTACCTAAGGGGGCTCTTTAAGTCATTGTATAATGTGAAGTTCACTTGGAGTTTGGTTCTTTTCAGCAGTGCAGCTTTGACCAGTAAGAGAAGTTTAGTCCTTATGCCAGAGAGTTCTGCAGAAGAAATCACTGCTTTCAAGAATTATTTTGTGATATGAACTACTACTTTTGCTTTCTAAGGAATTTGTTTTAGTTTATATTTTTTGTCTTTTTAAGGAAGTAAAACCCATTATATTTGTCAGAAATCTCATTCATGTGACATTGAGGAACATCCTAATATTGAAATGCATTGAACAAGTAGTGTACATATGTTACTGTGAGTCATACATACTTGGGTTTCCTTTAGACCACATAGCCTGTCACAGAGTAGTCATAGTTTTCTTATTTTAGTTTGTTCCATTTTGTTTCCACAAAGACTCAAATTTAGTTAACATATAGTCTAGGAAAAGTTCTATAAACATTTGGCAGCCTATCCAAAAAGTTTTTATTGTTTTAAGACTGTAAATAATGTTAGTTTTTATTGAAAGTGGTTCCTTAATAAATTTGAAATGTTTTTGGATTACTACTTAACGATACTTACCCAAAGACTGCATTACTGAAGTTCTCTGATTTGGGGAGGAACACTCAAGAACCTGTGTTGTCTCTGTGAATGGAAAGCTTTACCCCCTGTCCGGAACTGATGACTTCTGCCACCCTTCTGGGAAATCACGCAGTCTACCTGATTGGATGATGGCACATGATGTCATCATGGCATCTTCTGTAAGAAGTACAAATACAATGCTATTGAAAGTCTTAAGGTTTTAATTTTTAATATGTATATGAGGGTGTGGAATAGGTCATAAAACTAAAAAGAGAACCATGGAAGGGGAAAAAGCTTTCTTTCATTCTTTTTTCTTTCTATCTTTCTTTCTTTCATTCTCTCATTCTCTTTCTTTCTCTCTCTCTTTTTCTTTCTCTTTCTGTCTCTCCCTTTCTTTTTCTGTCTCTCCCTATAGGCCCCAGCTGGCCTGGAACTCATTCTGTAGACCAGGCTGGCCTTAAAGTCACAGAGATTTGCCTGCCTCTGCCTCCAGAGTGCTGGGATTAAAGGTGTGTGCCACCATGCCCAGCTGGGAGAAAGGTTTCTTAAGGGGGGCAGTAATAAAATATATGTGACATGAAAGTAGAAAGACTTCTTGGAGAATGAAGGGTACAAATTGGAGAGGTATAGATTAGGAAGATCACAAAAACAAAGGATGTTTAAAAATGTAACGAAACCCATCACTTTGTATGTTAATTTTGAAAAAAAAAAAAACCTCAAAAGTCCTAACTAATGAGAGAAAAGTAAGCTCTTTCTAACAGAGGTTAGATAGTTTTTATGGTCATGACTTCCTATCTTTAGCTTGCAGATTAAATTTTAACTGCTGACAAAAATAACCTTCAAATGAAACTGGAAATATTTTCCAAGACGTTGTTTCTTTTGCTAAGAAATTATAACTACTTCTCTAAGAAGCCAAAGTCCTGAGTTCATTATTTCTTTTTTTTTTTTTGTCTTTGAGACAAAAATCTCCCTGTAGCCCCCGCTGGCCTGGAACTCACTATGTAGATGACCAGATTAGCGTTGAACTCACAGAGATCTGCCTGCCTCTACCCCCCAAGTGCTCGGACTAAAGGCATATGCTACCGTGCCCGGCCTTTACAATTTATTTTTTCATTATTATTAATTAATATGTGCAAATACGTATGGATCCATGTACATGGGCATGGAGGTCAGAGGACAGCTTTGTGGAGTTGATTCTCTCCTTCCACCTTTACATGGGTTCCAGAGGTTGAATTGAGGTTGCTGGGCTTGTACAGCAAGTATCTTTACAGACTATAAAAATGTATACTACAGAAACTATGCATCTAAGTTGTCTGGAAAAAATTGTTTTAAATGAGATGTGTGTTCTTGTTTCCTTTTATCTTTTATTTCTGACAATTTCATGGGTCTAATAGTTAAAACTATATCTTTGTAGTATTATTCACTTCTTGAGGAAGCAAGGTTATGGCCATCTTATACCTGTATTGTACTGTGGGGGTCTCTCCCTCTCTTCACGGGTCATTGGCCACCGGTCCACGAGGGCAGGGGGAGCAGAAGCGGCGAACAGAGTCAGGATGGCCAGTGAGCACTGATGGAAGAAAGCCCTTCCGGGGAGGCTTGTTTCATGGCGCAGTGAAAAAAAAAAAACAGCTCTAGATGCAGTGATACAGCTCCAGACTCAGTGAAACAGCTCCGTTTATTCAGTGGGAGAACTAGAGGCAATATCCAAAGCCTTAGCTGATAGGTGCTCATAGTATACTTTATTTACATGTGGTAGTGGGCAATGCCTGATTATCATATAGAAAAAACCTGGGGGTAGTTTTTACTCCAGGTAACTATGCCAAAGGTCATGTTCCAAATAAGGTCAGGCATCCGTGCTTGGTGGCACTTTCCAGGTAAGCCAGGAAGAGAGCAGGAGGCCCCCTGCTGAAAAGGGGAGTCCTTCCATTTGGCGCCGAGCCCCTTAGGGCTATCCAGACATGGAGAACTAACAGCAGGGTTTCCCAACATTGTACGTGTGTTAATTACTACTCTTGTCACTAAAACCGAATAACCTTATAGAACCATGTAAGGGAAGAAAACTTTATTTTGATTCATGATTTCAGAGGGTTTAATCCATGGTTGCTTATCCCCATGTACTTGAGCAGAACATGTTGTCATTGGGAATGTGTGTCATTTTATCTCATGGTATATAAAAATCAGAGAAAAGAGAAATAATAGAAAGGATTGGGCAGGATATTACCCTTAAGGACACGCCCCCATTGAGCTGTGTCCTCCAACTAGGTCTCACCTCTTCCCTTTTACTATTTCCCAATAATACCATCACTATGAATCCCTCAAAAGATTAATGTATTTATTGGGTTGGAGCCCTCATGATCTGATTGTCTCTGGAACTGTGTTCCACACACACCCATCGTACGTTAGCAGTCTTCTAGGTTTCTTGATTCAGTCAGATTGATAGTCAATATTAACAATCACAGCATGGTACCAGTGTTGTTTGTTTTTTTGAGACACTAATGCTCTCTTAAGTTGTTTTTGTAGTTAGACAGTTTTATCTATTCATACTTTTTATTATTGTAGTAGTCCATAGTGAGTGGTTATTATTTTTTAACAAGCTTATTGTCTTTGGTGATAAGCTCTTTGAGAGATATTTAACAAAGATTTTGCAAGTTTCTTCACCATGAGCCTTTTCTTTCCATCAAGTGGAAATGTGTTTGTGTGTCTGCATATATCTAATTTCCAAAAAAATTACAGTGTGTTCAGATAGTTAATATTGTTATGTATCTAATCCTTTAATCATTCAGGAACTAGTTTAGAATTGTATAGATTATTTGCCTAATGTTGATCATTCATTGTATTTGTGAAGCATGAAAGTGTCAGGAGAAGGTATAGTTGGTTATAGTGTTAAATAACTAAGAACTTAGAGGATATACCTTCCAAGATGAAATTTTTTTCTTTGTCCTAGTTGCAATAAAACATCGTAGACTCAACAGACATTTATTTCTTAACAGTGTCAGAGGCTGGGGAGTCCAAGATGAAGGCATGGTCAGATACAGTGTCTGGTGAGAACCCACTTCCTGGTTCATACATGGTACCTTCTCATGTGCATGGGATGAAAGAGTGAGAGAGCGCTTTGGGGTTCCTTATGTAAAGGCACTATCCCATTCTCGATTTGTTCACTTTTATGACCTAATTACTTCCCAAAGGCCCCACTTTGTAATATCACATTTGTGGTTATGGTTTCATTATAAAGTTTGAAAGGGACACACACATTGAGTTTACAACATGTCTTTTCCAGATTTTTTTGTCATTTGAAATCTAATTAGTGTCCTTTTGTTATATTGATAGGTACCTAGAACAGGTTAGCAAACTTTAAAAAATTCTTTTCACTACTTTTCCCCCACTTTCTAATAAACTTTCCCATCTTTTTTTTTTTTTTTTTTAAATTCAAGACTAGTAAACATTTTAGGCTCTTCAGGGCACAAACTGCTTATCTCTGTTTTACTGCAAAAGCAGCCATAGACAATACATAGCTGAATGAATATGGCTGTGTTTCAGTTAAATCTTATTTATCTCTGGGCATGGTGGCATAAGCCTTTAGTCCCAGCACTAGGGAGGCAAGAGGACCTCTGTGAGTTCAAGGCCTGCCTGGTCTACATAATGAGTTCCAGGCCAGCTAGGGTTTCAAGGAAATCCTGTCTCAAAAAGACAAAACAAAACAAGAAAACAAAAAATAAAAGCAAAAACAAAAAAAAACCCCGATTTTCCAAACCAGGCAGCTGGCCAAATTGTGTCCAAGAGGTATATATAATTTGTTGCTAATCTATATTAGAAGGACATCCCCAGCTTCATACTGCTTGTTAGTAGTGGTAGCACAGTGCCTGAGGCTTGTTATTCCATTAATATTTGTTGAATTAATAGACATTGGTTAAAGAACATACTGAAGAATGTCATATCTTTGAATTAAATGCATATTCTTATTTCTGGCCACAGTTTCCATTTTCCCTAATCATCCCTTTAACTTTGGAATATTGACAGTTTTAGTTTCTGTCAAAATTAATAGATTTTGAAGCTAGAATCAATAAAATAAGCCAAATGGGTTAATTGGTGAATAGATTAACAAATTGTGATGTATTCACCCAGTAGACTACTACTTATCAGAAAAAAGGAATGAACCGTTCATAGATATGACAACAGAGCTGTGCCTCAGTCACATTATTCTGAGTAAAAGAAGATGACACAAAAGTTTGATTCTTTTTTTTAAAGACAGGGTCTCACTGTGTTGTCCCAGGTCTGAGCCTCCTGAGTAGAGGATCACAGGTGTGTGCTACCACACATGGTTGATTCCATTTAGGTGATATTATAGGAAAGGCAAAACTGTAGGAGCACAAGGTAGCTTCGTACAATTGACTACAAAGGGATACTGGAGGACTTTATGGGATGCTGGAAATATGTTTTTCTTTATTGTGGTGGTAGTTACATGGTATGCATTAATCAAAATTTAAAGTAAAAAATTGGTGAATTTTGTTGTCTGTAAATTATGATTCAGTAAAGCTTTAAGATGAAACAAACTAGATCTATATTGTCACTGTAGCAATATGATACCCTAAACTTTGGAGAGAAATAAATGTTATTTAAGCATGAAAATGCCAAATAAAAATTAATGGTATTTAATTTTTTTTTTTAATTATAGAGATACAGCTAAGTTCCCCTGAAACTCTTGATCCGGAAAGAGAAGAGCCTGTAGGTAGCAGAGAGACCCCAGCTGAAGTGAGAATGCTAATGAAGGGTGATAGGGAGGTGAGAACTCTTGTCTATACTTTTCCTCGTTCTTTTGATTATGCTAGTTTTCTTCTGTCTGATACAAAGTTGACCTTGGCTGAAAGATTTTGGTGGCATAAGGCTTTTGCTTTGGGAATGCTTATCCCAGAGAGAAGTTTTTATATTTGAAGATACCAGTTCAGCTCATCATTTCTTGAGTGCTTTTATTATTTCTGTTAGAGCTGGGGAAATTTGTACTCATTGATGTTGTTATTAGTGATAGAACTAGAATCTGAACATAGATTTGTCTCTAAAGATATAGAGACATTTTCTTTTATATACTGACAAGTAGCAGAAGTGAACAATCTAGGGGGAAAATTACTATGTAACACAAACATCATTTCAGCATTAATTTTTAAGTGTTATCAGAAATACAAAGGGAAGATAAAATAAGTGAATCTCTATTTGCATTTTAACCTTTCCTAATTACACATGCCTGGCTGTAGCCATATAGTTGATTTTCAAAATTCTGATTAAGATTCTTAGCATGTATTTTTCTTGTGTGTGTGTGTGTGTGTGTGTGTGTGTGTGAGTGAAGTGTACTTGCCTGTGTGAAGTGTACTTGCCTGTGTGTTTTCACGTGGAGGCTAGAGGTTGACTACGTATCTTCCACTGTCACTCTCTGTTTTTTGTGACAGGGTCTTTTATTGATTTAGTTTCCTACTGTAAGGTGTATTGACCTTGTTTTTAATGAAAGCAGAAATTGTACAGGCCATTTTTGCATTAGGTAGACATGCTGTCTTTTGAAGCAAGTATTAGGTGGGAACACTGCAGTGCTCAGGCATGCAGTTGAATTACTTACTGTTCTGTTCTTGGTCCTGACCAAGAACTAACATAAGACTATGAGAGGGCAAGGGAGATGGTTCAGTTAGTAAAGGAACTAGCTGAGCAAGCCTGATGACCCAAGTTCAGTTTGTGGAACCCACATTAAAAGCCACATGTTGGGACTAGAGAGATGGCTCAGTGGTTAAAAGCACTTACTGCTCTTGCAGAGGACCTGGGTTTAGTTCTTAGCACCCACACAACAGCTCAAAACAATCTATAATTCTAGTTTCAGGGCATTCAACACCCTCTTCTGGCTTCTGTGAGCACCAGGTACTTATCTGGTACACATGCATACATTCAGGCAGACACTCATACACGTTGAAAAATAAATAGAAATAAATAAATTAAAAAGGCAGATGTAGTGGTGCACATCTATAATCCAAGCACATATGGTGAGAGGGGAGGCAGAGACAGCTAGATTCGGTAGACAACACAAAAGCAGAGATCCTACCTCAGAAAAGGTGGAAGGTGAGAACTGAGTCCCCAAGTTGTCCTCTGACCTCCGCACATGTGCCATTACACACACACACACACACACACACACACACACACACACACACACCCCTCACCCCACCATACACACACACCCAAAATAATTTTTAAAAACTACCTATGAGAGACACTGGTAACTCTGGGAGAAATGGTCATTATGAAACACCAAGAGGAGCAGGAGAGAGATTTAAGAGGGGCTTCAGCAGAATTATCTTTTTTTTTAATTTAATTTTATTTATTTTTATTTTATGTGTATGAGTGTATTGTCTGCATGTGTGTAAGTGCACCTGTGTTGTGCAATGCCCATGAAGTCAGAAGAAAGCATCAGATCCCCTGGAATTGGAGTTACAGATGGTTGTTAGCTGCCCATGTGGGTGCTGGGAATGGAACCTGGGTCCTCTGCAGAACAGTCAGTGTTCTTAACTGCTGAGCCATCTCTCCAGCACCAGAATTAATTATCTTAACTAATGATTTTTTTAAGGCCTTTAAATATTTGACCCTTCCCTGCTTTTCTAATCCAGAAAGTCACAAAGCAGAAAGTAGAGGTCAGTTTTTTAAAATATTTATTTTATTTATTTTTATTTTAGGTGTGTGTTTTTTGCCTGCATGTATGTAAGTGTACCATGTGCATGCAGTGCTCACAGAGGCCAGAAGAGGGTGTTGGATCCCCTTGAACTGGGTTTACAGATGGTTGTTAGCCACTGTGTGGGTGCTGGGAATTGAACCTGGGTCCTCTGGAAGAACAGTAATGGTTTTTAGAGGCCAGTTTTGAAGCCAGACACTCCCTTGTTTTATTGCCTATGGCTCTGTGCAAATTGCTTTACTGATTCAGACAACAGTTTTCTCATGTGAAAAGCATGTGGTGGGGTAGGTGAGATGGTTCAGAGGTAAAGAAAGGCATTTGCCACTAAGCCTGACAACTTGAGTTCAATTCCTAGAACTCACAAGGTAGAAGGAAAGAGGCAACCCCACAAATTGTCTTCTGACTTCCACATGTATACCCTGACATGTGTGCTCCCATCTATACACAATGAATAAATAGAGGTAAAGAAATTAAGAGTGTATGATAATGGCTCTGTAAGATTGTGAGGATTAATAATGCATATGTGTGATGGTGACTTGTTCTTTGGGGCAAAAGATATAAACTAAAACTGTGACAACTACTGTTTGCCATGTTCTTCAGGTTGGTAATAAGGAAGACAGTGAGAAAGAAAATCCTCCCTCTGCCCTCTCCTCTAGCACTCAGGTGTACTGCCCAATGTGTGACCGAGGCTTCCCATCCACAAAGATTGAACAACATGCCATGTACTGCAGTGGTCTCATGGAGCAGGGAACAGGTAAAAACTCACCAGAACAGCCTATTAAATTTTCTTTGCATGGTACTTTTGTAATCCATATAATATAATGCTGGAGAAATACACAACCCTTCTTTCAAAGTTTCTGTTGTTTTCTGTCTAGTTAATTTCTAGTACTTTAATGTTGTTGTTCTTAGTAGGTATACTATCTTGTAACATGTACCTCAGGAGAAGGTAGATGGAAAAAGTCTTTCCTCTTAATGTCCCAATTTATTCTTTTTAAAATATTTTATATATTATTTTTATTTATTTTATGTGTATGAGTGTATTTAAGTGCACCCGTGTTGTGCAGTGCCGGTAGAGGTCAGAAGAGGGCATCTGATCCTCTGGAACTAGAGTTACAGATGATTGTTAGCTGCCATGTGGGTCCTGGGAATTGAACCGAGGTCTTCTGCAAGAGCAATCAGTGCTCTTAATAGCTGAGCCATCTCTTCGGCCCTGCAATTTATTTTTTACTGTAGATAGGTGAAAAGCCAATATAACATGGTAGATCTTGCATTTCAGCTTAGATATTCAAATATTGAGACTCTTGAGGAATTTGAGCCCAAGGAACTAAGTTCTAGAGTGGTCCATTTTTAAAATTTAAAATAAATGTCTTGTTTATTTTAGCAGGAAATTCTACCTGGAGCCAGGAGTTAAAAATATCCCTAATTTATATTCATGTCCTGTATGTCTCTGCTGAGTTATGCTGGAACTATTGGGTTATCTATCTATCTAGAAGTACACCCAAACCATAGTTTTGATATAGAGTGAGATATTCTTGTTAATCATGTCTCTTGAGGTCTGATCCTACCTTTCTGTCTGTGATTTTAACCTCTAAATAAAATAGTATCAGCATAGCTAGCTCTCTGTGATCCACTATACTGAATAGAATGTAACTTGTAGGCAATTGAAAGTGTTGGCAACCTTAGTACTACTTGATTTCTATAACTTAGATGTATTTAAATATGAAATTATATAATTGTGAAGTATTTTATAAGTTAAAATTTCCAGAAAGATTATATATTACATAATTTTTCTGAATTTGTGTATATCTTAGCTATTAAACTACGTTTATTGAATGCATAAAATTAGTCAGGCACTGTTTACATAAATGTGGCTATGCTATGTTTTTTCTTTATTAGTAAGTTTAGGTCTTTCTGTTGCATATATTTTCTTTTATGTAGTTATGATTATAAAATTTTATATTCTGCTTTTTCTATTTGCAGCATAAATTTCCCTTATTCTGAATAAGTCATTTCTAAAAATATTTTTAATACTTAATAGTATTCTGATATCTGGATTGCTTCCATTTTCTTAACTATTACATCTTTAGAATGTTTCAGATTGTCAGTCATAATTACATGGCACTGAGTCTATGATGTCTATAAAGATGTTGCTGCAGTTGGGATATATTCTGAATATGGGGTGACAGTTAAAGGAGTTCATTCAGCTTAAAGTTGAGCAATATCTCTGTTGTAATGTGTGATCTATACATGTTTCCATGTTTTACTTTATACATCTGTCAATCAACAGTAATTAGCTTATTAAAATAGTGCCCATTTAAAAAGTAACCACTTAACTGTTAATGAATGCTATATTCTCAGTAATGAACTTCCTAGGGCAAAGATTTTGTGATCCTTTTAAAGGGCCTTTATACATAACATTATGTTTTATTAATATAATGGAAGATGACCTAAATACAGTCATGAACCCCATATACTGGGGAACACCCAAAAGATTGAAATCTAGATAGTTTTAATTTGGCATAGCTCTTTAGGCTGTTTTTTAAAGCCAAGAGTTCCAGTGACTGAAACAGTTCAGGGGCTGAACATTTGTGGCTATAAGGGGAAGAGTCTGTCTTAACCTCTCTCACAAGCACATTCTGCAGTGGACATTAGTCATTGAATCAGTGATGCATTCAGCACTGAGGTCCACAAATACTAAATGAATTTGAGAACTTAGGAATGTATGTCCTCTTTCAGGTCAAAATTACTAGGTAAGAAGTGATACAGACTAGCTCCTTTCCTTCTATCTTCCCTACTGAACTCTGCTAGTTTGTGCTTAAATAGGGCGTTTTGGCATTTATGATACCTGGTATCTTTCATAATAATTTGCTTTTAATCCTGTTTCTTACTGGGGTATATTTGGGGAACTCATAATCCAAAATACCTTTTTTGCTGCTGAAATAATTTAGACTTATCTCTGAATTTCCTTAGACTAAATGTAGAATTTTGCTGCTAGAGCCAGATTGTTCTCATTGAACTTGTTAAACTGACATTATTCTGGTATAAGTAGACTGAGACTTTAACCATTGTCATTCAGAGAAAAACTTTCAGGTTCCCTTATTCCATTGGGTTAAAGAAGTGACCCTTTCTAGTTGCTCCATTGGATTACATCCTGAGTCTTATGGACGTTCAGACATAGATATACATGTGTTTTCTGATGTAATGGAAAATTGTGATATTCTTGAGTAGCCATATGTCTTACAGCTCTGATCCTAATGTCTCAGACCTCCATCTGAAGCTGTCTGTTGTATCCTGAATGATAGTCCATTATTTTTCTTAGGAACATTTGTCAAAAGCTATTCTTTCCAATATCAATTGTCTACTTAGAACCAGAAATTTGATTTGTTTTGCCACTTATTCCTACATACCTTTAATTCATTTAAATACTTAGGGAACACCTTTTATTTTCTTTGGTAAGATTAATTTTAAGTGTGTGTGTGTGTGTGTGTGTGTGTGTGTGTGTGTGTACACATACACATGTGACTGCAGAGGCATTGAATGCCCTGGAGCTGGAGTTACAGACAATACCCAGTATGGGTGCTAGGAACTGAATTCAGGTCCTTGCAAGAGAAGTATGTGCTGTTAACATGTGAACCATATCTCCAGCTCTTTATTTTTATTTTAAATTACATTTATTTATTTATTTAATTGTGGGTGTGTATGTATGTATGTATGTATGTATGTATGTATGTATGTATGTATTTATACAGCTTGTGGGAATCAGTTTTCTCCTTCTACCATGTGGGTTCTGTGGATTGAACTCAGGTCATTAGGCTTCGTGGCAAGTGCTTTTATCTGATGAACCATCTCACCAGCCCTGGAAACTTTAAAAAAAAATTAGTTGTATGTATATGTTTGTATGTGTAATATATATATGTCTGTTGTGAGTATATGAGCACTTGTATGTGTGTAGAGGCCAGAAGAGGTCTGTCTATTCCTTTGAGGCAGGATTTCTCTCTGAATCTGGGGCTCTCATTTTCTCAGCTAGACTAAAATCCAGTAAGCCCCACTGATCCTCCTGCCTCTCAGAGCCAGGCTTACAGGTATGTGTAGGACTCCCCAGTTGTTACGTGGGTGCTGGGTGGGATCCAAACTCTGGTCTTCATGATTGTGCTGTAAATGCTTTTAACTGATGAATTATCTCTCCAGCCCTCTGGAACACTATTTTTAATTGGTGGTAAGCCTTTTATGGGTTACTAAAGAAATTTGACAACAAGATTTCTGCCACCAAATGGTTTGTAGTCTCATAGGCAAAATAAACATTTACTCAAGAAAGTAATTACAAGTTGATCAGAGTAAATGGTTTATACCCAGGTGAACATCCTTGCAAATGAGCGCAGTGGAAGAGAGAAGTGCAGTGAATTGGGATGATGTCCTGGAGACGGTGGTTTAGACTGTGAAATCTGACATTTTAGGTTCTGTAAGAGAATTTGCAGTAGGAAATACTCACTGGAATCATCCCATAGACTCTTCCATTTTCCTGAGAACAGTTTGGGTGTCTACATAGACTGGGGAAGCGAGGAATTATGTGTGTGGCATTTACTAGGTCCTCAGCAAATTTGATCTCAGGTTTTCCTATCAGCTTGCCTATGTCTCTCTTCCTTCTTACAGACATAGTTAGTAATTGTTTCGTTTTCCTCTCAACTTAGTTTCTAAATCTTTGGAGGAATATCATACTATTGGAGGAAAAGTTACTCATCTTGAAGACACAACCTAGCTTGGAGACCATTTGCTTAATTCTAAGAAGTAGAATAGGAGAGTACTTTCCTCCCAGAGTTAAGTACCCAGCTTTCCCCTCCTTTCTGTTTCTATTTGAAGCTGATCCTAGACATGCTTGGTTTGGTTGTATAAAAGGAAAAATAATTAGTGTAATTTACATGGCATGTCTACCATTTATGCTTAGTTGCTGTGCAGCACAATAACAATTATGTATGTCATTAAAGATGTGTCTGATTAACATTGCTGTAAGTTTTATTTGATTATAGTACTACACTCTGGTTAAGCTGGCTTGTCTGCTCAGTTTATTCAATGATATGACTGTATACTCAGAACTATCAAAAAATGAAGGGGCTGGAGAGATGGCTCAGTGGTTAAGAACACTGGTTGTTCTTGCAGAAGACCTGGGTTTGAATCCCAGCACCCACATGGCAGCTAACAGCTGTCCGTAACTCCAGTCCCAGGGGATCCGACAGCCTCTTCTGACCTCCGTGGGCATTGCACGACATGGGTGCACTTACCTATATGCAGGCAGTACACCAGTCCCAGGATCCGACAGCCTCTTCTGACCTCCGTGGGCATTGCACGACATGGGTGCACTTACCTATATGCAGGCAGTACATGCATACACATAAAATAAAAATAATTTTTTTAAAAAAGGAAAGGTTCTTTAAAGGCATTGTTTGGATTCATTACCTTGATCTAGACTAGAACACTTGTTTTCTGGAAATACATTGGAGATGTTTTTTATGTAAACATTTTGGAAAAATAAAGCTCCCCATTTACTCATTCAAAAACTATTAATAGTTATTATAGATCAGATACAGTGAATGAATATGAAAAGTCACTATTCTCATGTAGTTTCCATTCTAGTAGTGAAGATAGTGGAAAAAGTAAATATACACTATGTCAAGTGGTGATAAATGTTCAATTAGCGTGTGTATGCATGTGTTCATGTGTGTGGATGTGTATGGAGGCCAGAGGTCAACCTTGGGTGTT